TTAATCCAGTCCTTGCGCCAGCTCGTTAGAAGTGAGCTACGTGCATGAACTGTGTTCCGATCCATATGATCCCTACACAGTGTTCATTGCTCCCTGAGCAGGGGAAATCCGTTGAAGTTTACTTCACTTCGGAACATGGGCTGGAATTGGGAACCGCTGATGTAGCCTATTGTAGTAATGTTGTCTCTGGTATTCTGGTCTGTGAGTGAGCGTATATGCGTTCAGGGGACATGGCTTTGGACGGCGATTGCAGGGAGGGTGGGATGTTCACTTTCAGTGCTATCAGACTAAAGTTAGCATTTTCCAAGATCTCCTACTGCACCTTTAATATTCGCTCCTGCATACAATGCAAAACTGCTAACATGACACAGTTTAAACTTGATTATGGTTGCTCATTTTTTAATTCAATTAGGCCTGTGTGTACATTAATGAGGAAAAAAAATTAACTTAAATGATTTTAGCAAATGGCTGCAATATCACAAAGAGTGAAAAATGTAAGGGGGTCTGAATACTTTCCGTACCCACTGTATATATACACACATCTACACTACCAGTCAAGAGTTTTTGAACAGTAAGATTTTTAATGATTTTTTAAGAATTCTCTTCTGATCACCAATCCAGCATTTATTTAATCCAAAGTACAGCAAAAACAGTAAAATTTTTAAATATTTTACCATTTAAAATAACTGTTTTCTATGTGAATATGTGTTAAACTGTAATGTATTCCTGTGATGCGCAGCTGTATTTTCAGCATCATTCCTCCAGTCTTCAGTGTCACATGATCTTCAGAAATCAGTATAATATGCTGATCTGCTGCTCGAGAAACATTTCTGATTATTATCAATGTTGAAAACCGCGAGTATAATGTTTCAAGTCTCTTTGATGAAAGTTCAGAAGATCAGCATTTATCTGAAATAGAAAGTTTTTGTAACATTATAAATGTCTTTATCATCCCTTTTGATCAATTTAAAGCACTTTTGCTAAATAAAAATATTAATTTCTATAATTTCTTTCCCCCAAAAAATACTCCAAGCTTCTGAATGTTAGAGTGTATAATGTTACAAAATCTTTTTATTTCAGATCAATGCTAGTCTTTGGATCTTTCTATTCATCAAAGAAACCTGAAAAAAATTACTCAACTGTTTTAAATATTGATAATAATAAT